AAGGTACATGCCCTTGACCGGAATCGAACCTGGGACCCTTGAGTCTGCAGGCTCTATCCACTGAGCCAAACTGGTTAGGGCAACTTATTTTGTTTTGTGTTTTTCTTAATCCTCATCTGAGGATATTTTTTTCCATTGATCTTTAGAGAGAGAGGAAGGGAGGGAGGAGGGGTGTGAAAGAGAAAGAGAGAGATTTAACTGGTTGCCTCCCAAACTGGGGATCAAACCTGCAACCTAGTCAAGTGAACCTAAGATCCTTAGGTCTGCAGGCCAACGCTCTAACCACTGAGAAAACTGGCCAGGGCTAAACTTATTTTAAAATTTACATGGAAAGCAATAATTGCAAGGAGAGGAAAAACCATTTTGGAATACACTGAGTTGGGGGAAAATAAAGCCATCAGTGATCTTTAACCAATTTAATGGTGTCTGTCTTTACACAGACTCTTAAAAAAATTTTACCTAGTCAAATCTGCCTGTGACTTTTGGGTTTTTATGACATGCTGCTTAAAGATTATAAAAATATTTCCGTTTGGTATTCTTATACTTGTATATTTTTAGTTTATATCTTTGTGTCAGCTGCCGTTTATTTTTGTGTATGGTGAGAGGTAGTTAGAAATACCATACTTAAAAGGGACCAATAGGTACTAGCCTAGAAGTCAGAAATCAGCAATCTAGGCTTGCTCCCATATTACCTTTGTAATCTTAGACAAGTTAATTCTATCTGGCCCAAGAGACCTCATCTTGAAAATGAAGATAAATAAGTAAATAAATAAATACCTTTTCAGACTAATTTCTAGCACTAATGTGAGGAAATAATGAGATTATAGATGAGAAGGCTTTGAGAAGAAAAAAACATTTTGCAAATCTTCTAAGTTATTAGTATAGATTTTTTTGGTTTATGCAAATCAAATGTTAGTGGAATGCAGTATTATTTTTCTGTACTTGAAAATTATTGATTCACCAAGTGTTTATTGAGTGCCTTTGTGCAAGACCTGGGGGAAGGGAGGGGAGAGTGGGGAAGATGAAAACTTAACTTTTTTTTTTGAGTGCCTATTTTGTATTTGGTGCCTTTTAAAATTTATTTCAGAGAGGAAGGGAGAAAGAGAGAAAGAGAGAGAGAGAGAGAGAAAGAAAGAAAGAAAGAAACATCAGTGATGAGAGAGAATCATTGATTGACTGCCTCTTGCATGTCCCCACTTGGGATCTAGCCTGCAACCTGGACATGTGCCCTGACTAGGAATTGAACCTGTGACCTCTGGCCTGGCTGTATTTAGTGCTTTTCTTTTTTTAAAAAAATATATATTTTTTATTAATTTCAGAGAAGAAGGAAGGGGGAGAGAGAGAGAGAGAAACATCAGTGCTGAGAGAGAGTCATTGATCAGCTGTCTCCTGCATGACCCCCCCTGGGGAGCAAGACCACAACCAGGCATGTGCCCTTGCCAGGAATTTAATCCGAAACCCTTCAGCCTGCAGGCTGACACTCTATCCACTGAGCCAAACCGTCTACGGTTTTGGTGCTTTTCTTAAAGAAGGCTAAGAATTAGTCCTCTCCCTCACAATGGGTACTTAAAGAGAATAGGCGCCTCTCTATGAATGTGGGTGTTCAGTCGGTAGATACCATAGAAGCAGTGTTTTCATTTTCTAACAAGCCTGGCTGAAAGGCCTTTAAGAGGCTCCTTCCCTAATCCATTTGCCCGCAGGCAGGCCCCCTCCTGTGTGACCTTCCCAGACTTCCTTGGTACACACTTCTCTCAGGACCACTCCATCATTTATTCAAATGGTATTGTAATGAATACCAATTAGTGTTTTCCTGCACCAGCTCTCTATGGCTTTAAGGAGAGCCTAAGTGTTTTTTCCTTTCTGAAGGCTACTCTGGGCCAGTTGAACAGAGTTCATTAGCCCTTCCTATCCGTCATAAACTCCAAATCTATTGTGGTGAGCATGCCTTCATTTTACCTGCCAGCCTTCCTTCTGGCCTTCTAGCTGACAACTAGTAAATACTCAGCCATGTTTGCTGAACTAGCTAAACCCAGTCCTTTCTCTGAGAGCCAGCTGGTCTCTGTGATAGAAATGAGCAGTATATGGCTACCTTTGTCACTCAAATCTTCGGGATGATAGTGGGTTGAGGAATTGGGAAAGCACATGATGTACTAGGGCAGTGGTCGGCAAACTCATTAGTCAACAGAGCCAAATATCAACAGTACAACGATTGAAATTTCTTTTGAGAGCCAAATTTTAACTTAAACTATATAGGTAGGTACATTGTTATTAACTTAATTAGGGTACTCCTAAGGCTTAGGAAGAGCCACACTCAAGGGGCCAAAGAGCCGCATGTGGCTCGTGAGCTACATTTTGCCGACCACTGTACTAGGGTCATTCCTTGAGCCTGGAGCTTTGTGTGTTTTGGAATTCTTGTTGCCCCTTAATTCCTTCTTAATCTTTTTTTGTTGTTTAAAAATAACCTTTATTTTAATTATATAAGTAATTGAAATTATCATATAAAATTATAAAAATATAGAGGCATATAAATAAGAAAATAAAAATTATAATTCCAATACCCCAAAATAACCACAGTTAATATTTTGAAGACTTTCCCCATCTTTTTCAGTCTTTTTGTATAGAGAGTGACTGCTAGTAGCTATGGGGTTTCTTTTGGGGATGATGAAAATGGTCTGGAATTAAATAACGTAATCAGTGCACAACTTGTGAATAAATTTTTCAAAACCACTGAGTTGTATTCTTTTTTTTGTTTTCATTGTTAACAAACATTGTTTATTGGGAATGAGTTGTATTCTTTAAAAGGGTGAACTTTATGAGCTTTTATTTTTCTAAAAATGTTTGTAGATACATGCACACAGTATTATCTTTTTCTGAACTGAAACTTACAGTATTTTTGCTCCTTTATTGCTGTGTGTTTCAGCATGTTTTCTGAGAATAAGAATGTTCTCTTAGCCTAGCTGGTTTGACTCAGTGGATAGAGCATTGGCCTGCAGAGGAAGGGTCTCCGGTTTGATTCCTGTCAAGTTGCAGGCTTCATCCTGACCCTGGTCAGGGCGCATGTGGGAGGCAACCAATCGATGTGTCTCTCTGTCTCTCCCCCTCCTTTCTACTCTTTCTAAAAATCAATGGAAAAATATCTTTGGGTGAGGATTAACAAACAAACAAAAGAATGGTCTCTTAGCCCTGGCCCGTGTGGCTCGGTTGGGTGTCGTCCCATGCACCAAAAGGTTGCTGGTTTCATTCCAGATCAGGGCACATGCCTTGGTTGTGATTACAAAATCCGAATTCATAAGGTGAGTCACACTGAAATCCACAACCACATGAAATTGCACCAATGTTCCCAAATGCGGATTGGCTCTTAACCGGTTAAAAATGCAGATTTTGTAATCAAAGAAAACATGATAATTTCAAGAGAAACATCAGAAGTGCTTTATTCAAAGTAATGTCCATCGCTAGCTACAAATTTGCCCCATCTTTTAGGTAATTTGTGGATACCGTCCCAATAGAACTTTTCTTGTTTTGAGGCAAACCATTCAGAGACCCAATTTTCCACTTCTTCGTATGTTTTGAAGTGCTGCTCAGAAAGTGCGTGTGCCATCGATCGGAACAAGTGGTCATCTGAAGGAGCTGGTCACAAGGCTTTAGCTGCACCCTGACTCTCAAATTTGCTTTCTATTCTAGCATCTCATCAGAGCTCGGCCTGACCACCTCCCGTATGAGTATCTGTAGCCCCAGGACACCTCCACGTGGATGAGCGTTTCCAAGAAATAGGCATTTACTTTCCCTCCAGCTTCCCCTTTCTGCACCCTAATTTCTTTCGGGGGGATGATTATTTTTCCAGTCACCCAGGCTTGAAACCCCAAGGTTATCTTTGACTCTTCCTTCTCCTCCAACGTAGATTCCGTATGTGTTGAATTCAGTGTAATCTAGTGAGTGGCCACGCCTGCAGCTTCCTGTATCTGTCCTTTCCCACGGACACCATCCTATTCCAGTGTGGACCACCTCTTGTCTGGTTTATGGCAACAGCCTATTACTTCTCCATCCTGCTGCTTAACACTGGTCTTTGGAGAGCATCAATTTCATCACATTTTTCTTGACACGGAATCTTTCAGTGACTTCCCATTTTCTGCAGGAAAAAATTTAGATTCTTTGGCCTGGCTGGCATTCCAGGCTCCCCATAATCTTGTGCAGCTGTGCTCCTGTATCACTCTTGCAGACCCTTCCTCCAGCCAACTGGGCCCTTTCGCTGACCTTAGAACAAGCCATACTCCTTCCTGATGTAAGCTCCTGGCATTCCTGCATGTCTCTCTTCCTCCTTTTCGCCAATCTCATTTCTCCTGCCCACTTTCAAGATTCAGCTCCAGTCCCACTCTGATCTTCCCCAGTCTTCAGCCTTCTCTTTTCCTGAATAATGCTTGGGGTCAGCACCCAGCCATGCCCCGGGTACAACTGTTGCGTGTGCATCTGTGTCTTCCCACTGGGACAGAAAGGCTTTCTCAGTCCCCAGCACCCTGTCATGAACACAGCTGGTGTTCGCTTCAAACAGCCACTCCCTGTTTATTGAGCACTCTCAGCCTGCATGGCACAGGGTTACACTTGTTTAACAAAGTGCTTCCTCAATGTAACCTCCTTTCCTTCCTGCTCTGGGAGAGGGCTTTAGAAATCGGGACAGTTCTGAAAAGACTGTAGGGGGCGGGATGCAGAGATTGGCCTCTGAGACCTGCCTGAGCCACTGGTCTCCGTCAGGCTCCCCCCACCTCAGTCTCTCCCCTCCCCTTGCTCTTGTCTCCCTGCCAAGCATGTTCCAGGAACCCTATCCAGGGCCCTTTGGTTCAGGTGGAAAGCCACTCCTTCTGCTGGCTCTCTGCTCCTCTTAACCCTGATGTTAATGTGGCACGTGTTTGTGCCTTTTATCTCATCTCCCCCTTCGTGTCAGCTAATGATTATTCAGAGGACTTAACCTAGTGTCCCTATCCCAAATCTGTGTCCATTTTCTTTAGGGCAAGGTCATGGGAGTGATGTCATGGTCATGTGACTGCTGCCTGTACTCATTCCCTCTGCTTCCCTGGTACTAACATTCCGAAAAGCAAATTGTGTAACCTGCCTCCAGCTCACCGGGACAGAGGCCTGAGCAGAAACGTAAGCCTCTTGTTGCTGCGTTAGGTGGGCAGTGGCCACTAGATTACACCTGATCTGTGCTAACTGCCTTTCCCCTCTCCCCTGTTTCTGCTGGCTTTCTCCCTGGATGCTCTCATTTGCCCTTGTCTATACAGTGAAGGCCAGGACTGAGCTGCAGGACTGGGGCCTTAGGCTCCTTAAGGGGTTGGGGTTCTTGGTTAGGTCCAGGTGGGGTATGCAGGCTGAGTAGGGAATAACTCCTGCTCTGCTCACAGATTTCATCCTGATGGCTGACTCTAAACCACTCCCCTCCCTTGACTGGGACCCCGTGGCTGCAGAAGCCTTGCTTCGGGACGTGTTTGGGGTTGTTGTGGATGAAGTCATTTGGAAAGGGACCAGTGCTTCCGAGAAGGTGAGTCCTTTCTCCCTGTTCTTTCTGCCCATCAACGCGGCTCAGAACTTTGCTCCCCCAACAAGACTTGTCCGCAGACTTCTCCCACTGCGTGCCTCAGGGATTGTATACTGGGTCTTACTGTGTTTATTTACCCTTGTTCGTGTGTTGCTTTAAAAACATTCCTGACTTGTTGCTTTAAGTGCATGTTGGTGGTGTCTTGTGTATACTGAGATGTGGTTTGGGCAGCAGTCAATAGAGTGTCTAAGGGCCCCCAGAATTTCCCACTTCTCCCCCTAGGTCTGCGAGTGGAAGGAGCCGGAGGAGCTGAAGCAGCTGCTGGATTTGGAGCTGCGGAGCCAGGGGGAGTCAAAGGAGCAAATCCTGGAGCGGTGCCAGGCTGTGATCCGCTACAGCGTGAAGACCTGTGGGTCCCGGGTTCTGGTGGGGAGAGTGTCTGGAGTTTGTACCCAGTTTGACTCTGAGCCCCCTGTCCCCTTCTCCAGGTCACCCTCGCTTCTTCAACCAGCTCTTCTCAGGGTTGGATCCCCATGCCCTGGCCGGGCGTATTGTCACCGAGAGCCTCAACACCAGCCAGTGAGACATGCCCAGGGCCCCTCCCACCACCCCTCGGAAGATATGGGTTTGCACATGCCTGGGGGGCGGGGAAGAAAATGATTTTTCCCTATCCCTGTTTTCTGGAAGTCTCTGCTGGCAGAGTCTTCCCCTTTGTGCCCTTCAGGCTCCCTTTCTCTAAGCTTTCTCCTGCCTCACCCTAGTTTGTTCTCATTCTAAAAAAAAATAAAAATCTATTAATTGATTTTTAGAGAAGGAGAAAGTGAGAGAGAGAAACATTGATTTGTTCCATTCCTGTATTCATTGGTTGATTTTTTTGTTGTTATTGTCAATCCTCACCTGAGGATATTTTTTCCATTGATTTTTTCAAGAGAGTGGAAGGAAGGGGGAGAGAGAGAGAGAAACATCGATGTGAGGGAGACACATTGGTTGACTCCCTCCTGTACCCACCCTGACCAGTACGTGCTCTTGACTGGGAATTGAACCCCCCAAAGCTCTAACCACTGAGAAACATTGGCCAGGGCCATTGGTTGATTCTTGTATGTGCCTAACTGAGTATCAAATTTGCAACCTTGGTGCTCTAATCAGCTGAGCTGCCCAACCAGGGCCTGTTCTCATTCTTGCTTCCTTGGTTCTTTGTCACCAACTCCTTCCTCTCTTTGGGCCCTTCCCTCACTCCTTTTCACCCCCTGCTCTCTCTGACTCCTCTGAGAGTCTCACCTGGCCTCCTTCCCTGTCCGCTCCCCTTTCTCATTGTCCCTTCTCCTGGCAGGTACACTTATGAAATCGCCCCCGTGTTTGTACTCATGGAAGAAGAGGTGCTGAAAAAGCTCCGGGCGTTGGTGGGCTGGAGCTCTGGGGATGGGGTCTTCTGCCCTGGTATGTGAGAAGGAGGGGTGTCTTTCTTTGGCCTTTTAAAGGGTTCTTCCTTTCTCACCATTCTCTTGCTCTAAGCTGGCAGGGCTTAGAGCTCTGTTTCCCCTCCAGCTAAGCTCTGACCACACCAGAAAGAGGCTGCCCAATACCCTGCCTCCCCGTTTGCCAAACAGTCCATGGGATCAGTGCCCCAGTGCCTGCTCTCTCCGGGTGGGGGCTGTCTTGGGGACAGCCCAGGATATGTAGGGGGTAGTCAGGGGATCTAGGTCCCTGGGCTGTTCTGGGCTATCGTGGCATTTGTAGAGACCTGGGAGCCAATCCTTCGTGTGTTTTTTTTATCAGTTCTTCTGGGTAGAGAGGTCAAGAGGGGCAAGCTCCAGTTTTGACCCACTGTCTGTCCCTCTTGCCGCCATCCCCTCCCTATGACAGGTGGCTCTATCTCCAACATGTATGCGGTGAACCTGGCCCGCTATCAGCGCTTTCCCGATTGCAAGCAGAAGGGCCTCCGGGCACTGCCACCCCTGGCCCTCTTCACAACGAAGGAGGTGGGGAAGAGGCACAGGCCTACCCTGGGCTCCTGATTCTAACCTCTAGCCAGTGAGTCCAAGATCTGTCAGGGTCTCTGCTGCCCAGTCCCATCTCTTCCAAGGCCAGCCTGCCCCCAATGTATGTGCTTCCTTCGAATCAGGGGCTCCCATCCACCTTGCCTTCAATTGTGGGGGAGGGAATAGGAAGGGGAAGCTAGTGAGGTGGACACAGTCCACACCCTTTCTACCTACAGGGTGGTTCTTGGACCAGCAGCATCAGTAGCACGGGGGCGTTTGTTAGAAATGCAGAATCTCAGGACTCACCCCAGAGTATCTGACTCTGCGTTTAATCAAAGACCCTGGCGATTTGAAGGCTCATGAATGCTTGAGAAGCCCAGGTCTACAGGATCTCACCTATTACATCTTACACTTGACTTCTATTAGTCTCTCTCTCCTCCCCATCCTCCCTGCCTCTCACCCTAGCCCAGGGGTGGGCAAACTTTTTGACTCGAGGGCCACAATGGGTTCTTAAACTGGGCCGGAGGGCCGGAACAAAAGCATGGATGGAGTGTTTGTGTGAACTAATATAAATTCAAAGTAAACATCATTACATAAAAGGGTACGGTCTTTTTTTTTTTTTTTTTTTTTAGTTTTATTCATTTCAAACGGGCCGGATCTGGCCTGCGGGCCGTAGTTTGCCCACGGCTGCCCTAGCCTGACATGCTGTCTGCCTTTCTCCACAGTGTCACTACTCCATCAAAAAAGGAGCTGCTTTCCTGGGACTTGGCACCGACAGTGTCCGAGTGGTCAAGGCAGATGAGAGGTGACGGTCCTGTCCTTGTGGCCCTGACCGGCTTGGTGCAGCATGCCTTCCTGCTGTGAGAAGCTCTGGCCGCAGGCCCACGCCTCTGGTGGACTTCTCTTCATTCTCTGTTTCTACACAATAGTTGCTTCTGTCTCTCAGTGCTAGAGTCTCCTGCCCTGTGCCCTGAGATGTCTTAGGGAAAAGATCAACACGGTGGCCTCTGTATTGCGAACCCCACATTACCCTGCTCTCAACACTTCCTAGCCTAGAGAGCAATCACTCCTTTACCCACTCGGTTTTCTTTTCCAGAGGGAAGATGATCCCTGAGGATCTGGAGAGGCAGATCAGCCTGGCCGAAGCTGAGGTGAGTGAGTGAGGGGTACCGGGGTGTGGTGGAGGTGGAGCTGGGCGTGTTTTTTTCTTGGAGGATTCTTTGGGCTCTCCCTGGTCAAGGCACCCTCATCCCTCTCCTTGATCTCGGTGCCTGCCTGCACTGAGAGAGCCTGAGGGCCAAGGACACTGCGGTCCTCTCAGGAACCTGCTGAGACCCACAGGCAGGAGCAGGATCGCATTACTGAGTGGAACTCCGAGGCGGCACCACAGAGAGGGTGCCGGCAGCCTGAGGTGTAGGGGGAAGGTTCCTGTGAGCTGAGGGTCGGTGCAGAGAGCTTGTGTGGGCCGGTGTGAGGAGTGCAGGCTGTGTGAAGTGGGAAGGGTGGAGGCCTCCACACGGGGGCTGTTGGACGGCTGCACCCACCTTGGAGGGCATTTTGGCACTATCTATAAATTGCAAATGTATCTGTCCACTGATTCAGAGTCCCACTGCTAGGATCTATTCTATAAATCATCATCACAGTACTTAGAATTCTGTGCACTGGAGCTAAGTGTAAAATTTTTAAAAATTTAATGTCTATCAATAGATAAATGATGATACCATATCTGTGTGTCTTGGTTTCTTCCTTTATAAAATGAGCATAATGTAGAAGTTATCACATAGGATCATTGTAAGGATTAAGTGAATTAATATATCTAAAGCATTTAGAGCCCATGAAGCACTATACATATTGGCCACCGTTATTGTTGTTATTATTATTGGAGTACTATGTAGACATTTAAAAGAATAAAGTGGGGATATAGATACTAACATCAAAATGCCTCCACCATATATTTAAGTCTGTTTACATATATAAAGTTTATATAGCAAATTGCAGTAAAGGAAGGACAGTGTGATGAGCCTGTTGTTACTGGGAACAATATGAATTTATTGACGTAGGGATGTTACCTCTAGTAGCAGTATGAGCAACAATTAGAACAGTAGAGTAGGCCCTGGCCGGGTAGCTCAGTTGGTTGGAGCGCCATCCTGATATACCAAGGTTTCGGGTTCAATCACCGGTCAGGGCACATACAAGAATCAACCAGTGGCCCTAGCTGGTTTGGCTCAGTGGATGGAGTGTTGGCCTGCGGACTGAAGGGTCTCTGGTTTGATTCCGGTTAGGGGCACATGCCTGGGTTGCGGGCTCCATCCCCAGTAGTGGGTGTGCAGGAGGGAGCTGATCAATGATTCTCTCTCATCATTGATGTTTCTATCTCTCTCTTCCTCTCCCTTATTCTCTGAAATCAATAAAAATATATTTTTTTAAAAAAGAATCAACCAATGAATGTATAAGTGGAACAACAAATTGTTGTTTCCCCACTCTTCTCTCCCTTCCTCTCTCTCTAAAATCAATTTAAAAAAATAGAACAGTGGGGTATCACTTTTATTGGATAAACTTTTTTGGGTAATGGCTTTTTATTTTTTATTATTTACTTACTTATTTTTAAAATATTTTAGTTGATTTCAAAGTGCCTGGAGCCTGGGGATGTCCCCTGACCGGGAATCAAACCATGACCTCCTGGCTAATAGGTCAATGCTCAACCACTGAGCCATGCCGGCGGGCCTGGGTAATAGCTTTTTTGAAAAAAAAATATTTTGTTATTAATTTCATAGAGGAAGGGAGAGGGAGAGAGATATAGAAGCATCAATGATGGGAGAGAATCATTGGTTGGCTGCCTTCTGTATGCCTTCCACTGAGAATTGAGCCGGCAACCCAGGCATGTTCCCTGACCGGAAGTCGAACCATGACCTCTTGGTTCATAGGTCATTGTTCAACCACTGAGTCATGCTGGTCAGGCGGTAATAGCTTTCTTTATTAAGATAGAATTACATTCTCATGCCATACAATTTACCCACTTATAGTATACAATTCAGTGGTTTTCAACATATTTACAGAGTTGTGCAACCATCAGTACAATAAATATTAGAATATTTTCATCACTCTCAAAAGAAACCCCATATCTTTTAGCCATCAATCTCCAATATTCCCATACTTCTTTCCCATTAGGAAACCACAAATCTACGTGCTGTCTCTATGGATTTATCTATTCTGGATTTTTCATAGAAATGGAATCATCCTATACATGGTTTTTGTAATGGACTTCTTTTGCTTAGCATGTTTTCAAGGTTCATTCATATTGTAGCATGTACCAGTTCTTCATTCTTTCTTATTGCTAAATAATATCCCATTCTATAGATATACCACACTTTATTTATCAATTTCTTAGTTGATGGACATTTGGGTTATTTCTAGTTTGGGGATATTATAAGTAGTGCTGCTCTAAACATTTGTGTACAAGTTTTTATGTGAACATATTTTTTTTTAAATTTCTTCTGGTTATATACCTGGTAGTGGAATGGCTAAGCCATATGGTAATTCTATATTTAACCTTTGAGGAACCACCAGACTGTTTTTCAGAGTGACTGCTCCAGTGTATAATCCCACCAGCACTGTATAGAAGGGTTCCAATTTCTCCTCGTCCTCATTGGCACCTGTTACTTCTCTCTCTGATTATAGCTATCTTAGTGGGTGTGAAGTGGCATCTTGCTGTGGTTTTGATTAGTATTTCCCTTATGACTAATGATGTTGAGCATCCTGTCATGTGCTTATTCTTTTCCATTCTAGATATAAATCTCTTATCAGATACATGATTTGCAAATATCTTCTTCCAGTGTCTACATTGTTTATTCACATTCTTGAGGGTGTCCTTTGAAGCACGAAAGTTTTATATTTGATGAGGTCCAATTTATTTTTTCTTTGGTTGCTTGTGTTGTTTTTTAAATTGATTTCAGAGAGGAAAGGAGAGGGAGAGTGAGAGAGAAACATCAATGATGAGAGAGAATCACTGATCGGCTGCCTTCTGCTCAAGTGGGAATCAAGCCTGCAACCCGGGCACGTGCCCTGACTGGGAATCGAACTGTGACCTCCCGGTTCATAGGTCGTAGGTCAACACTCAATCAGTGAGCCGCTGCAGCTGGGCTCTGATTGACTTTTTAATATGCTCTTACACCCTGCAAACTTGCCGAACTCATTTATTAATTCTAATGTGTTTGTTGTTGTTAATCCTCACCTGAGGATATTTTTTCCATTGATTTTTAGAGAGTGGAAGGGATGGAGGGAAGGAGGGGAGAGACAGAGAGACTTGACCAGGAATCCAACAGGCAACCCTTTCCGTGCATGGCCCTATGTTCTCATCACCAAGCCACACTGGCTAAGGCTAATTCTAATAGTTGTTTTAGCGGATTCCTTAGGATTTTATAGATACAATATCATGTTATCTGTAAACAGAGATCTTTTTTTTTTCCTTTTCAATCTGGATGCCTCTTATTTTTTTACCTAATGGCCCCGCTAGAACCTCAGTACCATGTTGAATAAAAGTGAGGAGAGGGGGTATCCTTGTCTTGTTTCTGATCTTAGGGTGAAGGCTTTTAGTCTTTCACCATTGAGTATAATGTTAGCTGTGGTTTGTATTTTTTTTTTGTATGTTTTGTGTTTTTTATTTTAGAGACAGAGGAAGGGAGAGAGAGAGAAACATCAATGTGAGAGAAGCATTGACCAGTTGCCTCCTGTATGCACCCCAACTAGGGATCGAACCCACAACCTAGGTATGTGCCTGACCTGGAATCGAACCCACATCATTTTGATATACGGATAACACTCCAACAAGTGAGCCAGCTGGGCTGGCTGTGGTTTCTGTAGTTGCTCTTTATCAGGGTGAGAAGGTTCCCTTCAATTTCTAGATTGTTGAGTATTTTTATCATAAAGGAGTGTTGGAATTTTCTCAGATGTTTTTCTGTTTCTATTGAGATGATCGATAGACCACATTGGGATGTGTTTTCCGCCCTTTTCCTATTGATAGGGTATATTTGGGTGTATTATTCTAATTGAATTTTGGGTATTAACCCAAGCTTGCACTCCTGGAACAAATCCCATTTTGCCATGGTGTCTTGTTCTCTTTATGTTGTTACTTCAGTTTGCTGGTGTCTTTCAGATTTTATATCTGTGTTCATAGGAGATGTTATCTGTAGTTTTCTTGTGATGTTTTGTCTGGTTGAAGTAGCAGGTTAATACTTGCCTCATTGGATGAATTCAGGAGTGTTTCCTCCTCTCTCTCTTTTTTTTTAGAAGTCAGTGAAGAACTGATATCGCTTCTTTTTTAAATGTTTGGTAGAATTGACAAGTGAAGCCATTTGGGCCTGGGTTTTTCTTTGTGACATTTTTTTTTAAACTATTAACTCAATTTATTTTTTAAAAAAAGATATTTTTATTGATTTCAGAGAGGAAGGGAGAGGGAAAGAGAGATAGAAACATCAGTGATGAGAGAGAATCATAGACCAGCTGCCTCCTGCATGCCCCACACTGGGGATTGCCCCACAACTCGGGCATGTGACCTGACTGGGAATCAAACCGTGACCTCCTGGTTCATAGGTAGACGCTCAACCACTGAGCCACACCTGCTGGGTTCAATTTCTTTATAAACTTTTGTACTACTAGAAATTATAAAATATCATTTGATTTTCCAGTAAGGCATTAAAATTTTTTGAAAGAGTATGAGTTTTGGAGATAGACCACCAGACAGATCTAGGTTTGGGTTCCATCTCTGGAGCTTCAGCTTGGGGGCAGGTTTCTTCACACCTCTGAATCTCAGTGTCCTCACCTGCAAATTAAAGGGGACGGTAGTACCTTGTAAGGTTGAAAGGACCCAGGTCAGGCATGCGGAGAGTTCAGAGCTGGGCTCTAGCAACCAGGCTCTGGGTTGCTTTTTGGATGCACAGCCTCTTTCTCTCTCTGCATTTTTGCATTAGGGTGCTGTGCCGTTCCTGGTCAGTGCCACCTCTGGGACCACTGTTCTGGGGGCCTTTGATCCCCTGGAAGCAATTGCTGACGTGTGCCAGCGTCGTGGACTGTGGCTGCACGTGGACGTGAGTAGGACTTGGGCCTGAGGGTGGGGTGGGCTGAGCTGAGGCCAAGCCCGTGCTGTTCCTTCTGCTACACAGGCCGCCTGGGGTGGAAGCGTCCTGCTGTCACAGACACACAGACATCTCCTGGATGGGATCCAGAGGTGCCTACAGCCCCTGTTCCCTGCATCCCACTTTTCAAATGCTTGATCCAGAGAATAGTCATGGTCAGAAAGCTTTCAATGGCAGTGGGCAAGGAGGTTGGTGGGAGGGGTTTGGCGAGATGGCTGACTGGGGCTGGAGTTCAGGTGGCAGACATAGCAATTCTCCCTGGCTGCTGGGCGGGGGTGAGGCGGAAGCTCCTTTTACTGAGGTCTGGAAAGGGAAGGCAGCTTGGCTGGGCAGCTTGAGGAAGAGCCAGCTCACCCAGCTTTGCTGTGCCCACCCCAGGGCTGACTCCGTGGCCTGGAACCCCCACAAGCTCCTCACAGCAGGCCTGCAGTGCTCAGCTCTCCTTCTCCGTGACACTACGGTGAGCCTTCCCCAGCCCTGGCCTGGTCCCTGCTCTCACCTTAGACCTTGTCTTCTTTTCTATCCAACCTTAGAGGGGTCCTGGCCTTGCTGTGTTCTACTTACCATCCCATCTGAAGCTGCATATCTGTGGCCACCCTAACTCCCTGTAGTGGGTTCTCACTCCCCCGTGGCCTGTCTTCAGGCAAAGGAAAAGTTTCCAGCTTGAAGTTGCAATTGAAGGGATCCTGGGTTGAGTTTGGGAAGAACTCTGGGTGTTAGGAGAAAACCCAGAGAAAGGGGTCTGAGTCAGCTGGCAGCTATCCCATCAGTACCGCCTGGTCCAGGGAAAGGAATGGGTAGACTGAGCTAAGAAAGCGCTAGAGGAAACCTGGGTGGGGAGCGTGGGGTCTGACAGTCTCTCACCCCACCCACAGAATCTGCTCAAGCGCTGCCACGGGTCCCAGGCCAGCTACCTCTTCCAGCAGGACAAGTTCTACGACGTGGCCCTGGACACGGGAGACAAGGTGGTGCAGTGTGGCCGCCGGGTGGACTGTCTGAAGTTGTGGCTCATGTGGAAGGCACAGGGCGGGCAAGGGCTGGAGCGGCGTGTCAACCAGGCCTTTGCCCTTGCCCGGTAGGAGTGGAGGGTGGTTCCAGTTCTCCTCCCCAGGTCCCTTCCCCAAAGCCTTTTGCTGCTGTCAGTGCCTCTCCAGTCATTTTCTGGGTCTTTTGTTTTCTTCCCCCTCCTCCTGTGATTGCTCACTCTCCGTTTGAAGATACCTGGCGGAGGAGATGAAGAAGCGGGAAGGATTTGAGTTGGTCATGGAGGTATGGCCTCCCCCAGTGATGGCGAACCTGTGACACGCGTGTCAGAGGTGACACGCGAACTTATTTTTTGGTTGATTTTTCTTTGTTAAATGGCATTGAAATATATAAAATAAATATCAAAAATATAAATCTTTGTTTTACTATGGTTGCAAATATCAAAAAATTTCTATATGTGACACGGCACCAGAGTTAAGTTAGGGTTTTTCAGAATGCTGACACGCCGAGCTCAAAAGGTTCGCCATCACTGACCTACCCTGTTCTCTTTGTTCCCATGTCCTCGTAGTCTGTCCTACACGCAAAGCCCTGCTGGACGCAGAGGAGCAGTGAGAGGGGACACTTTCTCAGCTCACACCTTTCTCTTCCTCATTCCTTCCAGCCAGAGTTTGTCAATGTGTGTTTCTGGTTTGTGCCTCCCAGCCTGCGGGGCAAGCAGGAGAGTCTGGATTACAGTGAAAGGCTGGCTAAGGTAGGCTTTCTCCTCCCTGGGGCTCTGGTTAACCTAGTTGAGCAAATGGATGCAGCTGATGTGTTTCTGCCCCCTGCTGGCTGTGGGTGGCATGGCAGGTCCTTTGGCTGGTTTCCTGCTCCTGAGCTGGGCACTGAACTGGAAAACACCAACTTGTCCTCATTTCTCAGGGATATGGATGGAGAATCGGGACTGTTTCTGGAAAGTAAGCAGAAGATAGAGAGGGCATTACAGATAAGTTGCCAGTGTACATAGACCCCTGTGCTGGGAGTTGTACTGGGAGCTCAGGTCTGGGACAGAGAGCTTTACTCACTGATACTGGAGAAAAACAACCAGTAAGGCCAGTCCAGACCTGCCTCCTGGAGCTGAGAAGATATGTCCTACATCCCTTTGATAGGTTGGTGGTAGGTGCTGCAGATGACCTGAAAGGACAAGATTGTTCTTGCCCTTAAGGAATAATATTAGGAAAATAAGAGTTACCTATTTGAAACCAGTATGTTCACAGAAATCCTGTAAATATGCATGTTAGGTCACAGAGTACAGAGCAAAAATATTACAGGAATTCAGAGAGGGGAGAAGGTGATAAGGATGACAGAGGCTTGAAGTTAGACTAAAACAGTGTTGGGAGTCAGGGAAAAGTTAGGATTTGACAGAAAATGTGACAACCTGGAGATAAGTGAGATAAGGAATAAAGCAGATGGTAGAGAAGGACAAGCAGGTTGGACATGGTGGAAAAGGTAAACTGGGGCCGAGGTCAGGATCTCAGCAATGAGCTGCCTCCGGAAGGTGGCTGGGGCGGAGGGAAATGCACCTTGGGTAACTCACTGGCCAGGAAGTTACCTGGCCCAGCCCTCACCTGACCCCAGGCTGCAGCTAGACGCTCTCTGTATCCTTCCACAGGTGGCCCCAGTACTCAAGGAGCGCATGGTGAAGGAGGGCTCCATGATGATCGGCTACCAGCCCCATGGGACCCGGGGCAATTTTTTCCGCTTGATCGTGGCCAACCCCGCGCTGACCCAGGCCGACATGGACTTCCTCCTCAACGAGCTGGAACGGCTAGGCCAGGACCTCTGAGTCCTCCTTTCACTGTTGGCCTTGACCCTCCTTCCTCCCCTCTGGCTCTGCGTATCCCCTCCCCGTGTTCCCAGACCAATCTTTTTAGGAAACAGAGTGGCTGTAATAACGTTTATATCCTTTGACCTACTAACTCTCCTCTTAAATATGTGATATTAGGAGAATGTTTAATAAACTACAGAGTATTCTTATGATAGAATGTTAGGCTGCCTTTAGAATTATGTTTACAAAAAGGGTGTTTATTGATATGAGAAAAATAATTTTAATATAATGTTGAAAAATCTGGATATAGTACTTTATATATTATAATATCTGAGCTATATTAAAACATACATAGAAAAAGACTGATGAAATATGCCAAAACGTTAATAGTTTTACCTCAGATGGTATTACAGGCACTTTAGAAATTAACTTCTTACTCTGGCCAGTATGAATTGGTTGGGTATTGTCCCATGTACCAAAAGGTTGCAGGTTTGATTCCTGGTAGGGGGCGTGCAGGAGGCAGCCGATCGATGTTATGCTCTCACATGAATGTTTCTCTCTCTCTCTCCCTCTCTAAAAAGTAAAAATAAATTTAACTTTTCATGCCTTTTGTGCTCCCTCCTTTTATCATAAAATGAATATGCATTACTCTTACAATAGAAAAATGATAAAGTTAAAATTTCAACTATATTATTTTGGTATGATTAGGAGTTTGTTACCTTTCAAGCAAGTAATGGAGAATACAAATTAAATTTTTTTTAAGGCAGTGAAAGATCCCAAAAATCTTTAGTGGGAGGGGAAAGGCCCAAAGTGGAGGCACTCTAAAATTAATTGTACTTTAGTGACATCGAAACAAAATGGGCACTGACGGTATCTTGAGACCAGAGCCTTATCCACTTACACTTAAAAATTCTCACCAGCTTGGCTGGGGTAGCTCAGTGGTTGAGCATCGACCTATGAACCAGGAGGTCATAATTGGATTCCTGGTCAGGGCACATGCCTGGGTTGTGGGTTTGATCCCCAGGCAGCCAGTCCATGATTCTCATCATTGATGTTTTTATCTCTGAAATCAATAAAAATATATTTTTTAAAAATCCTTGCCAACAAAAAAAGAAAAAATTTTCTTTTGTAATTTAAACAGAAATAAAAAAGAAAAACACACCCCAGAAAACCAAGTTAAAAGACAGCAACCAAACCACTGTTACGTCTCCTGTTATTGCTACTGTCCTACGTAAAAACACTCATTTTACACTTACAGTTCCGGGCTGGTGTTGCTCAGTCCCTTTTTGGGAAAGGCGTTCAGTTACACAAGTTACTAAGGACAAGTGGCAAGTCTACCAGAACTTTCTGTTATTTCCAATTCCTAAAAATACCATTTATGAAAACAATAACATGGTCATGTAAAAGTCATCCAAAGTTATTTTCAAAGGCAAATAGAAACTGTCCAAACCATAGCAAAAGAACATCCGAATCGCAGGCCCAATTCTCTTGACCATTTTGGGGGGGTAGGAGAACATTTCTATTAATAAATTAATAATTCCCCTATAAACTTGTTATTGTTACAAATGGTATTTTAATATCTTCCAAGTAATAAAATCATTTTGAGAGTATTAATAATTTGAACTCCAAGCTCTAATCTTAGAGGTCTATAGTCCTAGCCGGTTTGGCTCAGTGGATAGAGCGTCAGCCTGTGGACCAAAGGATCCCGGGTTCGATTCTGGTCAAGGACATGTACCTTGGTTGCAGGCTTCTCCCGGCCTGGGCCTTGGTCAGTACAGGAGGCAACCAATCGATGTGTTTCTCTCACATCGATGTTTCTGTCTTTTCCTCTCTCTTCCACTCTCTCTAATATCAATGGAAAAATATTCTTGGGTGAGGATTAAAAAAAAAAAAGGTCTGTATATCTACAAAATGTCTTAAATATAGTTTTTAAAAAAAAACTAAAAAAAACAAACTAAAAAAAATCATTATTTCATTATTTTCAACTCAAAGCAAAGCCAGAAAGCAAAAATAAAAACAAAATCTTCAAAATTTCTTGAATCATCTCCATTTGAGAAATATTTTTAAGAGAAGGAAGACCGGAAAGACAGGACATAAAATCAGCTAGTCACCTATTTTTCTCCAGCTTTATAAAACTGATGCTGCTTTTTCTCTTCCCAAAACTCAACCTCAGAATTTTTGACTGTGATGTTACAGTCCCTCTTTGCTTCCTGTCTCCCGCGGATATTTACTGAGCTCCTGCTCTGTGTAGTTCTTTCCTCTGCCTCCAGAGAGCTTAAGACTTAAGCAGTCAGCCCTCAACCGAGGCCCGTCCCTGCTCGAGGGCCTTGCAGCTGTCGTCCATCCCCCTTTGCCTCGGCGTTCACTCACCTGCATGGCTTGCTCCCTCATTGCCTTTAGGTTTTTGTTCTGACATCACATCCTTAATGAAACCTCCCCCGAATATTCTACTTAAAATTACATTTTCACCCTCTATTTCTGCACTTACCAATTCCCTTACCTGTCTGTTTTTTCTCCATGGCATGGATAAGCATCTGGCATTCTCTATATTCCAGTTATTTTCTGTCTCACCCAACTAAAATGTAAGCTCTGGGCGCAGAGATTTTGTATCACTGCCTCCTAAAATAGAGTCTAGTAAAGTTGAGTGAACGCTTAATGAATGCAGGTACTGTTGACTTGCTCTCAGTCACACAACCTTAAAGTGGTGGGGTCAAAGCCGAGCTCAGACTGTCTTCCTCTGGCTCTTACCCATGACCTCGCCTGCTTCTTTGACAGGTGTATCTAATTCATTGGTGTGAGTGTTCGGGATATTTTACTAATCATATGCTGTGGATTTACTGCTTATGGGAAGGATGAAGCGGCTTTACCCACCCATCTTGCCCTCGGCCGGGGGAAACTGTAGCTCCATCACACAGGAAACAAGGCCCTTGGGAACACCTGGGCTGGTTGCAATGTTGGAGTGTTGTGTGTGTTGTTTTTTGTGTTTTTTTTAAAGCGGTCAAAGTGTTCAAGAGGCTAGCCTCCCCGCCTGTCTGACAAGAAAGACGGTGCCTTCATAGGGAAGTAGGCCAGCAGGTAGGAAGTTAAACGCTGGGTGGGGCGCCTGTGCGGGGCAGCGCTCAGAAAGTGGATGAAAGGGAGCAAGCAACAGCAAAGTCCGAATTTGACTGGATACTTGCTCTTGTGTACCCTAGGTCCTCATTTGGCTACTTCTCTTCTGTTTATGTACCTTTAAAAAATCTTTTTATTTAGAAACTTATAAAAAGTTGCAAGAATAGTTGCAGAGAACTTCCATACTCTTTATGTAAGTTGATAGGTTTTTCACATTTTGACAAACTTTATCATGATATTTGTGCTATAATTTATTTTTTTCTGAACCATTTGAGTCGATTGCATACATTATGCCCCTTTATTTCTTAATGTTCTAGTGTGTATTACCTAAGAACCAGAATATTATCTTTTTTTTAATATATATTTTATTGATTTTTTACAGAGAGGAAGAGAGAGAGAGATAGAGAGTTAGAAACATCGATAAGAGAGAAACATCGATCAGCTGCCTCCTGCACATCTCCCACTGGGGATGTGCCCGCAACCCAGGTACATGCCCTTGACCGGAATCGAACCTGGGACCTTTCAGTCCGCAGGCCGACGCTCTATCCACTGAGCCAAACCGGTTTCGGCCCAGAATATTATCTTAAATAACAACAGCACAATGGCCAAATTCGTGAAATTAACATAGACACTATACTTTTTTAAAAATATATTTTATTGATTTTTTTACAGAGAGGAAGGGAGTAGGATAGAGAGTTAGAAACATCAATGAGAGAGAAACATTGATCAGTCACCTCCTGCACATTCCCCACTGGGTATGTGCCCGCAACCAAAGTACATGCCCTGGACCAGAATCGAACCCGGGACCCCTGAGTCCGCAGGCTGATGCTCCATCCACCGAGCCAAACCGGCCAGGGCTAGACACTACACTTTAAAGTCCATACCCTAAAATTGGTCAGTTGTCTCAATAATGCCCTTTGTGGCATTTATCCCTTCAGTTCCAGATCCCAGCTCAGGATCATATATTACATTTTGTTGCCATGTCTTGTTGTCTCCTTTAATTAAAATAATTTCTCAGCTATTCTTTGTCATTAGTGGTATTGACACTTAAAAAAAATACAGGTCAGTTATTTCATAGAATGTTCTTCAATTTGCTTTTTCCTGATGTTTCCTCATGACTAGACTCGAGGGATGCATTCTGAGCTGTAATCTGACATGAATCATGTTTGCCCTTTTTAGAGAAGCACATCGAAGGTCCACGGTGTCCATCTGCTCCTTATTGGTGATGTAATTTTGATGAAGGTCAACATTGGTCAAGATGTCTGGTTTCTCCTCAATATAGTTACTATTTCGCCCTTTGCAACTAATAAACAATCTGTGAGGAGACATTTCGAGATTGTGCGAATATCCTGCTCCTCTTCATAGTATCCCCACCTAGATATAGTATCCACTCATGATTCTGGCCAAGCCAACTTTTATCATAATGGTTCCTAAGTGGCAATTGCTAACTCCACTGATCCCTCCACTTTTATTATTTGGCATTTGGCTATAAAGAAGAGCCCTCCCTTCTCCTTATTCATTCATTCCTCCATTGGTTATCGATATGTTTTATTCAAAAAGTTATCATACATTTCTATCTTTACTTATATTAATGCTCAAATTGTTCCAGTTTTGACCATAGGAAGCCCCTTTAGTCTGGCTTCCATCCATGTCCTTTTGACATGACTTTAAAAAGAATTTTTTAAAAAATATATTTTTATTGATTTCAGAGAAGAAGGGAGAGGGAGAGAGAGATAGAAACATCAATGATGAGAGAGAATCATTGATTGGCTGCCTCCTGCATGTCCCCTATGTGGGATCAAGCCTGCAATCCGGGCATGTGCCCTGACCAGGATCGAACCGTGACTTCCTGGTTCACGGGTCAATCACTGGGCTAAAAAAAAAAAAATTTAAGTACTGCCTTTCTTCCTGGCACAACAAAAATACACCAGGACACTCAACCACTGGCCACACTGGCGGGCTAACCAGAAATCTTTTGGTGTAAGGGACAACACTCCAATCAACTGAGTCATCTGGCCAGGGCAGGACAGACCTCTTTCCAGAAGTTTGGCTATGATGGGAAGCTGAGAAGTGGGACAGCTTGATGAAGATGTGGGGTGAAGAGAGGGAGAGTTAAAGGGGGAGACACTAGAGAAGCATACCGAATGCTGATGGGAGCGATCTGGTAGGGAGGCAATAGGAGGGGTGGTGGCTATTAAAGGGGCTAAGCATTTAAGAAGGAGAGAGGACAGAAAGTGGCCTTTGATGTGAAGAGGTCTAACTAATTCTTCCAGTTGACAAGAGGAAATGGTAGTAGAGGAAAACGGAGGGGATGTGTGTTAAGGGGTGATTTGTAGACTTGGAGATGGATGATGGGAGGAGAACGGAGAAATGAAATAATTTTTTGGAGAGTGGGACAGGAGAGTAGCAGGATCATGGGACACGGCTGAAATGCCCATTTGAGGTCTGTGTTCCAGAACCGTGGAGTGTGTGTTATGTATGGCAGGGGACCTCCAAAGAGTAGAGCAAGGGAGGAGCGATATGGAGGGGCAGAGCTCCAAACAGTGGAGTATGAAATGCTATGGACATCACAGACCATTGGCCGTGCAGATTAGGAAGGGTCCCCCGGGGAGCGTTTTCTCAGTCCATTGAGATTTTGCTTCCCACAAATTGTCGTTAGTTTGACTCAAATAAACTCATAAAAATAAAAATTAAAACACACACACACACACACACACACACACACACACAAAACAAAAAAACAACAAGGAAGGGGAGTGGGTATTATATGGGGTGGAGGAGTCCCAGGACAGGCGAGAGTTTTGTAGAGAAAACTGGACAAAATCAAAGGGGTGAAAGGAAGGTGTTTGAAGCAGGAGCGTGG